GGGAGCAGGGGCAGGGACAGAGGCTGGAACAAAAGCGGGGAGGCGGCAGGGGCGGTGGCTGTGTCTGTGCCGGGGCTGAGGGTACCGGGACAGTGGGGGAACACGCTCGGTCCGTGGTCGCGCCCTGCCCGATTCCTGCGCTCTCCTCCGCAGGGCTGTGGGCACAGCTGAGGCTGGAGGAGGCCGGCGGAGGGCATCGAGCGCCCGGGGAGTCCGTGCTCCTCTCCTGCCGCGGGTCCGGCTTCACCTTCGAGAATCATTATGTTCGCTGGTACCGTCAGGCACCCGGAGTGGGGGTCGAGTGGGTGTCCTGGATAAGCCATTACTCATCACAGATTCAGTTTGGGCCAGCAGTGGAGGGTCGAGCCACAGCCTCCCGAGACAATTCCCGCTCTGAGGCATCTCTCAACCTGCACCTCCTGCACGCTGGGGACTCTGCCCGCTACTTCTGTGCTGTTTGCACAGAGATACGAAATCCGCTGAGCTTGAACACAAATCACCTGTCAGTGTCCCAGCCTCGGAGCTGGAAGGGGCTGTGTCCCACAGATGTGCAGGGTTGGTCCCAAAGAGTCCTGTAGTCACAGCATAGAATTTTCAAATGTTTGAATGTACCTTTTGCTGTCCCCTAATGAGCTCTAACCCTTCTGCTTGTCTTCTCCTCAATTTTCAAGTCAGCTCATCTCTCACCTCCCAAACTGCTTCACCTTTAGAAGCAACTTTTCCTCTTTCCCTTGGTTTCCAGTATTATGGGTACCCAGTGCAAATGGTGAGGTGTGAACAGCCCTGCTGTGGTTTTGGGCAGGGCTCATGTTCACTCAGTCTAGCTCATGAGTTTTGCTCCCTGAGGGGTGAGAAGAGGAAATGGGGAAATTCTAGATGGTCGTTTGGGAGCTCAGTGGAAGATTACGGAACCCTGTTTCTTTACCAGATCTGAGATTCTAAAGGGAGCAAGGTTTTGCAGCTGCTGGATCCTGGAGATCACAAGCAGAAACCCAGGAATGTGGTGGAGCAGTTTAAGTGACTGCTTAAGCTGTTCTATCTGTTCATCCTTGTCTCCTGGGGTTGCAGGTGGCCTTTCCCAAGTGCAGACAAAGGCCTCAGGCCCCACAGGAGGGAAGATGTCAGAGTCTGTCTCGCTTACCTGTCACATCTCTGGTGTCCCCATCACCAACAGCAGCTACGCATGGGACTGGATCCGGCAGACTCCTGGCAAAGAGCTGCAGCACATAGTGCTGCAATATCCTTTCACAGGGCTCCAGCACGTCGCTTCGTCCTTCCAGACCCGAGTTACCAGCTCTGCAGACCCCTCCAGGAACCAGCTGTTGCTGGAAGTGCTGTCACCAACAGCTGCAGACACAGCCACCTATTTCTGCAGCACTCGAGAACTTGAAAAGGGCACAGTGCTTGAAACACAGGCAGGGCCAGGGCAGAACTGGAAGGAGGGGCTTTAATCCAGTGGGGTCTTTTGGGGTTGCTGCAAGGCAAGACTCTTCCCAGACTTCTCAAGACTAGTCTGGGCTGTCTTTTCCCAGAAACAGATGCAATAGTAGCAATAACAGCAGCAGTCTCCCACAAGCACACCCCAAACCACAAACATGTTGTTAACTTATCACTTCCTTCTCAGTATCTCCCACAGGCAGAAAGAGCCAGGGAAACAGGGTGTTTGGGGATTTGTTTTTGTTTGTTTGTTTGTTTTTATTAAATAATGTGCTGGTTCTGGCTGGAGTACATTTCTTTATAGTACCTAGAATGGGACTATATTTTGAATTTGTGCTGGAAACTGTGTTGATAATTCAGGGGTGTTTTTATTGCTGAGCAGTGCTGACAGAGAGTCAAGGCCTCCTCTGCTCCTCCTACCACCCACCAGGGAGTAGCTGTGGGTGCACAAAGTCTGAGAGGGAGCACAGCTGGTTCAGCTGACCCCAACTGACCAAAGGGGTATTCCAGACCATATCACATCATGCTCAGCATTTAAAGATGGGGGAAGAAGAAGGAAGGGGGGGACATTGAGTGATGGCATTTGCATTTCTATGTAACTGCTGTGCTTTTCTGGAGTAGGCTGAACTCTTGGGTGTTGATGGAACTAGTGAATGAATTCTTTGCTTTGCTTTGCTTGTACTCACAGTGTTTGCTTTATTTATTAAACTGTTGAGTTCTTTATTAAACCCATGAATTTTCTCATTTTTACTGTTTCAATTCTCTCCCCCATCCAACCAAGGGGAAAGGAGAAAGCAGCTGTGTGGTGCTGATTTGCCATCTGTGGTGAAACCATGATAAAGAAACAAATGAGCATTGAATGAGTTAAAATTTTAACATGGAAAGGCAGAAGTCAACTGCATTTGGACACTTCATATTGTTTAGGGAGTCTCACAGGAATGTTGCAGCAGCCCATAACCATAGTCAATTCATTGTATCTTAGAAAAGAGTGGCCCTGCACCAGGAACTGCACTGCCAAGATGTTTTTTTCCCAGGAGATGATTAAAAGAATTCCTTCTCTGCACTCCTGTCTTTGGTTCCATGTGAATAAACACAGGTGTTCTTATTCTGAGGACTGACCATTCATTTCTTTACTTGGAAGTGTAGATTTTCAGGGAAGATATTTGGAGACCCATGCAAATGCATCCATGTGCTTGTGTACATGGGCACAGTGCCCGAGGCATCCTCTACAAGAGCTGCAGATGCCGGAGGGTCATTTGTCCCCAGACTTTGCCCCCCATTTGGCTCTGTGGAAGAATTGCTGCAGTGGATTAATCTAACAGCCATTCAACACAGGAGACTGTCAGGCCATTGTCAAATGTCTTGCAAAGGCTACACATACAAAGTAAAGGCCACTTTATTTCTTCTGTTACCACCCTCTTTTCTTGTAGGTGTCAGCAGCTCAGGGACTTCCCCCAACAGGTATTGTAGCTCACTTTTTCAAATCACTGCTTTTATCTGTCCTCTCCACAGGGAATGTTGTGACTTACTGTTTCACCTTAAATATCTAGTTTCCTATGATCCCTTATAGTGTCTCTAGAGAATCCACGACCAATAACATCTGTTTTGGAAGAAAGGTTGAATGGGATGGTTCTGTCCACAGAAGAATAGAATTCCCACCACAGCCTTTAAGAGAAAAGTTGCCTTCTTGACCCAGGTATTCCAGAACCAGCTCTCCATGAATAAAAATCCAAGGACACAGGCTCTTGTAAATGTGTGATGAAATCAGGTGGATGTGTGTGAAAACAGGCTCAGAGTGAGCTGGTCCCCCCCACATCTCCCCACCAAAAAAAGGAGAAAATTTTGTTAAAATACAAATGGAGATTTTGGGGGGAACAAGAAGAATTATGCTGGAAGGGCCAGGATACTTTCTTCTGGAAAACAGCAGTGTCAACCTTTCAGCAAGGACTGAAGGAATTCAAACAACCTCTGAAATGTATCTTCATCTGCCTGTGACACATTTCTAGAGGAGAGGGGGACTCCCTCTGTTCCCGTTTCCTCTGAAGCAGAACTCAAGGAGGGCTCTTCAGTATCATGTAGTGGAACACAACCTAAACATTCTCTCCAAGACGTCACTGACAGTACTGGGGCACCTCCTGTAATTTTTTGGAGGGCCTGCACCGGGACAGACATAGACAAAAGAACAGCAGAACTCAACTTTAAGCCAAAGGGATTCAAGCATGTGGCTCGTGGGAGGCTGTGAGCACAGCTGTGCTCTGTGGCACTGCAATGGGAACAGGTTGTTTAACGGCCTCTGAGATCTCAGGGACAAGCAGGGCGAGGTCTCCCTGCTGGGGAAGATTTGCCAGCGAGTGAAGGGTGTGTGAGAGGCACCTGTGTGAGCCCAGGCCTGTTGCAGGAGGTGTTTTGGGCTTGTTCTCTTTGTCATGCCAGCAGTTGAACAGGCTGAAGGTATCAGATCAGCACATTCGACAGCTTTCCCGGAGCAGTGAAGCAATAAGGAGGAGAAAACAATTTGACACACTAAAGGGAAGAACAGATGAACCTGCCCATGTTAACAATGGAAAATAGCAGCACTGGGATTAAAAACCGTGATTACAAATGAGAAATACACTTGGTGACAATGATAATGCAAACAGGTTGAAATAATGCTGTGTTGTTTTTGTGTCCTAGAACTGGATCTGAGGATTAGGAAACTGCTCCAGAATTCCAAGTTACCACTAATAAAAATCACAAAAGTAAGATAAAAATCAAATTAAAAGGCAATTATCAGCTAAACCAAAATAACTTCTGAACAATTCATAAACATGGACTGATTTTTAGTTTGGAGTGAAAATAGGTTTTGAGGACAGAAATGCTTGAAGGTCCAGAAAAAGTTAGGAAATACAGAATGAAAATAAACTGAAAATTAATAAGCCTGCTGCTGATACCCAGCTGGTCTCCAGATACTCTAAAATATTTCACCCTAACTCTCTTGATGTTTGTTAAAAGACAAACCAGTAATCAGATCCTGTCAGTGAGAACAGTTCTAACAGCAAAATTCCTTTTCTACAAGCATGGGCAATATTTTAGTGAGATTAATGCTAACTACCTTATCTGTCAGAAAAAGCAATAATGATAATGTTATTTTTAGTGTAGAGCATCCTCTGGAATAGTATTAGATGTTCAGAAGTAGAACAGTGTAGAGGAACAGGAAAATAAAAGCCAGCTCCTCAAAGACATGAAAGAGCAGACATCGCCTGGCACTGAAAAAAACCAAAATATTTTTGTAAAACTGTCTACCACAGTGTGGAGTACGTACCACAGTGATTTAAAATGACTGAACCATCACACACAAACTATCTCACTTCCATGCTGAAGGTGGAAACATGGTGCCCTACATGGTCTATTTTTCCTCAGACAACTCTGTGCACATACACAAATTCAATTACCAGAATCAAACAGCAGAAAAATCTTTTTCTGCAAAACTAATTTCTTCAACACTCAGCATCAGATCTTGGATCTTACAAACATGTCATTTTAGACACCTGATCACCAGCTCAAATTGAAAAAGTGGGCATTAACCTATTGTATTTAGATGTTTCCATTTTTAAGCTCAGCATTATGTTCTTCTCTTTGTCTCAGAGCACAGAGGAGGTTTTTTGCTAAGAACGAAGATCCTTTTAACTTCACGTCCAGCACTGGCCAGAAGCGGGTGCCTGAGGAACAAGAACAGGAGACCAGAAAGGGCACTTCCCACTAGCAATGTCCCAGCTATAAACATCAGAGCAAGGGCTTTGAGCCACATATGGTTGCTTTGTATCCACCATTTATGAGTTTATTCAGGAGCCCCTTGTTCATTGTTTTGGCCTTCTACCACCTTTGCTTGACTTAGTGCTTTGTCAAGATGAACCATTCTTGAGTTTGAAGGAGCTAATCTCTGAAAATGAGCAGCTCTCCTAGACCCCTCCTCTGTCCAGGATAACCTGTGGAATTCCTCCAAGAAAATCCCTGAGGAGCCCAAATTCTGCTCTCCTGAAGTCCAGGGCTCCAGTCTCTTTTTTACGTTGCTCTCTTCTCTCTGGATCCCGTGCTCAAATGTTGCATGGCCGCTGCAGCCAAAGCTGCCCCCGGCAACCTCACCGCCACCAGAAATTCTTCCTCATTTGCAAGTAGGAGGTTGTCATGGTTTAGGAATGGTGTTCTCCAATTTAATACTCCTGCTCAAGCCACCCCGTCGCTTGCTCTGAGCAGTGGTATGTGGAGGTTTTGACTGGGCAGGCTCAGCTCAATTGGTGGAGCCTCGGGTGTTAAATAACCAGGTGGCCTTTGCTAAATGTAGATCCCAATGCTTGAAGGTCCCACCACCCATTGCTTTCAATGTGGTTTTTAACAGTCCATTGTACAGTTCAGTTTTTCCCAGAGGCTGGTGCATGACAGGGAACATGATCCACCCACTCCATCCGGTGCTCTCTGGCCCAGGTATCCATGAGGCTGCTTTTGAAATGAGTCCCATTGTCCAACTCAATAACTTCTGGGGGGCCATATCACCAGCGTCTTGCTTTTCTAGGCCCAGGATGGTGTTCCAGGCAGTGCTGTGAGACACAGGGTGTGTCTCCAGCCATCCAGGGGTTGTGTCCACCACTGTCAGCATGTAGCACTTGCCTTGGCAGGTCTGAGGAGTGTGATGGGATCAATCTGCCAGGCTTCTCCAGATTTATATTTCAATTCATCATCCACCATTCCAAAGGGGCTTTACACCCTGGCCTGCTGGATTGCAGTGCATGTTTATCAGTTATGGATAACCTGGGAG